GCATGTGCCGATCTCCTAGGCTGGGCCTTTCCTCCAGCGTGGCCGGCCTCCCTGACCGCCAGGGCCCAGGACGAGGTCTGCCACATGGGAAGTACTCAGCGAGCATTTCTTGGATGAGCGCACCCCTGAAGTGTGTGGAGAAGCTCACACAGCATGAGCCAGCTAGAAGAAACATTGGCCTGTAGGTGTGTTCTGTTCGGCCCACCCCCTGCTTAGACTTTCTTTGAACCATTGATAACGACAACAACAACAAATCAGGTAAATGCTGCAGAGAAAAAATCCAGTTGTCCAGCTTCTCTTGAATCTTTAAGACTTGAGCTGCCCTGGAACCAAGGCAGCTGCTGCTCTGCCCTTGCTGGTTTTGAGTTCCTTTTGCTGGTCGCTAAAATATGTGAAGCCGTCCACCCCTCACACACCGTGAGTCAGTAGCTGAAGGTTTTTGTCGTAACATCGGAGTGCAGAGGATGTTATTCCAGCTTATCGTGCCCACTGGCATCTTTGAATAAGACGCGGCATCCTTGTAACTGTAACCAGCGCGGTCTCAATGCCAGAGAAATTCAATATTCATCGCTACCCATTAAAAAAGTACTAGAATAAGCTCGTCTACCATTGGAATGTTAAACTCTTTCCCCACCTTGAATTCATATTTTATTCCCAGGGAATTTTATCCCTAGGGCATTCTATTTGTCCTTGCAAAAATATGTGTATACGTTTAAGTTAAATTTCCTGTGGCTCTGAGAGTCTGGACATTTTTAACATTTCTGTAGCATCAGTGCAAAACGGTCATTCTACACCTGTGCACACAGCTGTAGTGTACATTTGAGGGACATATTAGAGGAGGGCACAGACCCTCCAAGGAAGTAGCTCCTGAAGAAATACAGACGCTGTTACACCTTTCTTTCTTCCCCCCGGTGGTTCTGTGTGTCCACGGGCAGGCGTTTCTTACTGTTGGGTTAATAAGGAGGTTCGGCATTCGTTCTGAACTGTTTCTGTGCTCTTGCGGTCGTGAGGGCAGAGAAACCGGGTCTGACCGAGGAGGACGGTGCTGTAGTGTGTCCTCCTCCCTCGCTCTCTGCGTCAGGTCCGCGTCCCTCCCGGTGATGGCCTTTGAAGGCCTCTCCCTCTTACCCTGGAGCCCGGTGGGCTCTGTCATTTGGGAGGGTCCCAGCTGACATCATCGCTGACTCAAGCGCCCCAGGGACAGTGAGGGGCGTCACGGTGAGGACCGGACACAGCGCTCTGTCACCAACCCCAGCCTGGCCAGGAACCCTTGCGGCGAGCTGTTCTGCTGCTGACTTCAAGTCTGATCCGTGGGGTGGGAGGCTGCGTGGGGAGGAAGCGTCCAAGTAAAGCTCCTGTCCCCGGAAGATGAAGGGCCTCAGAAAAGAGGCTTAGAGTTTGAAGCTGCCTGGGCTTCCTAATTCCACGCAGAGCCCACCTTCATTCTGTTTTCGCATGGCTCCAATTTTTTTTTTTCTAGCACCTGTATCAAACCAGGTGCTTGAGTTTGCGAGGCAGGCAGCGGCACCACTGCCTCACTTTTTTCTTGATAGCTGCTAGACCACTAGTCCCTCCTAAATGGTAGTACAGAAAATGCAGTTGTCACGGTCTGGAGACGTTTCCGTCTGGAGCGTCAGGGTGTCACCCCTGGGATCCTCACTGTGGACTTGGTGACTTTGTGGACAGGGACTCACCACCTTCTCCCAGCAGGTGTTGGGGGCGGGAGGGATCTGTCAGCTAAATAAGGGGAGAGGCTTCCAGGGGCCCGAGCAGCTTTGGAACTGGGGCTGAGGGGCAAGAGGGAGGGACCCTGGCTTAGGGGCCCTGTAAGAGTAGGGGCTCCCAAGAGAGAAAGTGAGAGGGGGCTGTCAAGGGCTCTTCTGTTGCTGGGGAATCGAGGGAGGAACGCGGTGTGGGCGCAGGAGCCCTAGAGCCAGACAGGCTGTGGGCCTGGCCCGATGCTGCCCTGTTGGCCGTGCCAGCCTCTGGACTTCTGTGTGCACAGGTCGGGGCACAGCTCTGGCTGCAGATGGATACTGTTTTACCCAACACGGGGCTTGCATTGAGCCACGCACATCCCTAGAGCTCTCCTAAAAATATTTGGAGACTGGGTCTCACTGAGTCACTGAGTTGCCAAGGCTGGGCTTGGATTTGTGATTTTCGTGTCTCAGCCTCCCAGAGTGCTGGGATTACAGGTGTGTGCCTCACCTGCCTTTTTTCCCGTTTATGAAAGGCTGCCCGTAGAATTCCTCGTGGGCTAAAGCCTGCTGGTTATGTCATTTCAAAACATTTGACTTGCAAAAATTCAACACACTTTAAAACAGTACTCTATTATTAATAATAATCACTATTATAGTAAACCACATTATACAGTGCTTTTAAGATTTTTTTCTCTTCTGCCTCTCAGCTACTCTCCTAATTGGCTTCAGGGTAGGGTTGATGTGATCGTGATGTTACCAATGAGGACCTGAAACTGACCCAGATCACACAGTGGGTCCCTGGTTTCCCACTTTATGGTATCTTGTGGCCAATGATGGCTTCGGGGCCAAGTGAAAACTTACCTTTTGCTTAAAAAGAAAAGCTCAACGACAAAAAATAGGTGTCTAGTTACTTGAGCAAGCAACAAATTGAGGAAGGAACTGTGAACTGAGCAAATCTAGATCTTATTAGTGTCAGAGAATGTACAGGTTCATCTTCCTTTTGGAAATATGTCACATATTATAAATAGGTGCAGAGATTGAAACGCGTACAGGAAAGCTGAGAGAGAAAGCTGTTTGCTGCTGTTAATTATTGTAAGGGCCACACTAAGATTGGGTTACCCTTTGTGTTTTATTTTGTGGTGCTGGGGAATTGAACTCAGGGCCTTGCACATGCCAGGTTAGCCCTGTGACACCAAGCTACACCCCCAGTCCTTGGATATCCTTGGTGTGAACTTCACTGTGAAAGTTGGAATCACAGAGTTTTAGAATAGACGGGATCTTAGAGATCAACTCTCTAATTAAAGTCACCAAGAAAACTTTCTGAGCCCTGGTTCGTTTCCTTCATCTTTTCACTGATAAAGGCCAGACTAGGGAAATTGAGGCTGAAGGATCACAAATTCAAGTCCAACCTGGGAAACTTTCTCAGGGTAAATAAAATAAAAGGGCTGGGGATGGAGCTCAGGGCAGAAGACCTGGGTTCACTTCCCAGTACTGCAAAAAACATCCCTGGTCCCATGGATCTAAACCCAGAACAATTAACCCCTGTAAGCATCTTTCTCAATAAGAGCCGGTGTGTTGAGGTCCCAGCAGAACCTCTCCAATAGAGATGCCTGGTAGAATAGGATGCATAGTATCAATATAATGTGGCCACATTGTTTAATCTTCATACTAGAGCAAACACTTGACTTCAGTATTGGTTAGTGTTTATTAGGAGCAGCTCCTGTCTGGGACAACAAGACTCCTGGGTGATAATTTGCCAGCTCTGTAAAAGTTGTTTATGAATTTCAAAACATTTGAGTGGACTTTCTTCACGGATGCTGTGAAGTGAAGTGATTGTGGCTGACTCCTTTGTGCCAGGGCAGAGGGGAGGCCGAGGCAGGAGGACACATTCAGGTCTCTTTGTCTATGTATTTGAATGTTTCAATTCATCAGATGGGGCTGCGATTAGGGGTAGCTAGCTGGAAAGTCCTGCGTGTTTCTCTTTTGGCAGAGAGGACCCTTCCCTGTGCTGTGCTCCCACCACCAAATAGTCATACTCGCCCCCATTTTGACGACCCCCAAAGTCCTCACTTAGCTTCCAGATGTGGCCTACAATCCTCACATCTCATCACCACCAACAGAAATTCTGAATATTGAAAAGTTAAGTAGTGCCTGCCTGTAATTCTAGCTACTTGGGAGGCTGAGGCAGGAGGGTTGCAAGTTCAAAGTTAGGAAACTTAGCAAGACCCTATCTCAAGATAAAAAAAAAATGTAAAGGGCTGGGGATGTAGCTCAGTGCCAAGGTTCAATCCTCAGTACTGCAAAAAGAAAAGTTAAATGTGAAAAAAAAAACAACAAAAAAAAACAACAACAACAAGAAGCAGAAGAATTTACAAATTCATACCTGGCCAAAGATTTACTTCTTTTAAATGAACGGTTGGACTCCATGCAGTCAAGCTTCTCGTGTACCTGGGCCCTTGCACTGTGGCCTCGCCTTGTCCCTCATTGTCCGTCCGATGTCGTCCTGGGCTGACCCCTACATAGCCCTGTCTTCTCTTCCTCTTCATGAAGGACGCAGAGGCCAGCCAGCGTGACGGTCACAGCTTCGCAGCTCCAGCTGCGGCCTTCCTCTTTCCCTCTTCCTGAGGAGGCTCCTGCAGGGCCCGCCACGGTCATTCCCAAAGGCCCCGCTGCTTCAGCCGCCTCCCCAAGCCCCAGCACCTCCTGTTGCTTTCTCCGCTCGTCTCTCTCAGCTGTCCCTCAGCTCCGAGCTATGTCCCTGACATCGATGTTCTGGTACCACCGGCTGCTTGCCTGTCTCATTCCTTAGGTTCCGGCCCAGGCCTCTCAGTACCCTCTCGTTAGCCTGCTGGAGAGGCCTGGGCTGGAACCCAGCCTGGTAGGCCTCCAGGGAGAGTAGTACCCACCAGAGAGGGAAAAGTACCCAGGGGACAAAGAAGAAAGGAGGGAGAGGGTCGGATCTAACGTGTGTGGGCGCCCCGGCCTCCAGCCCTGCATCGCCAGGGAAGGAGCCTCAGGGAACCACCCCAAGCCCAGCTTCTTCCTCACACTGCCTGATTTTGCCTTGCCTCCCTCAGAATTCACGTCTCATCCCTTCAGAGACTGTCCGTGGCACCCAACCCCAAGCCAGCCTTCTCTCCTCACCCCAGCTGCTCTGCTGCTTCTCATTTTTGTCTTTTCTGACCACGACTCCCTGCTGTCCAGCTCCCTCCTTCATGACTTCATGGTAACCCCTGCTAGAAGGTTCCCCAAGGCCCCGAGGGCAGGGAGCTCGCAGCCCTGGGCTTTACCGGCTCTGTTTCTGTGCACTGAGATCTAAAGAAACCTTTCTTCCTGTAATGTTGGGTGTCGGGTAGCAAGGAAAAAGAAGTAACAGACACCAGATCTTTTGGGGAAAATCAAACCAGAATTCTTCCGCGTGGTTTGTTGACACAAGCTTTTGCGTGCTGTTTGAGACGTCTCCACTGTGACTCCTTCGCTGTGGGGACACAGGCTGCGTCATCTGCTTATGAAGCTGCTGAACTGAAGATAGGCGTGGCCTCAGATCTTGTTCCTGAGAGCTGTTCACATCTAGCAGGGCTCGGGGTCCGGGGTGTGGGTGTCGATGGGGGGCGCTCTGTTGACTTCAAGATGGATCCGTTCCCTTTCAGGGCTGGGTTGTCACACGCAGCACATGGTCCGGTGATTTCCTCATGCATTTCCCATTCCAGGCTCATCTTCTGCAGGTGACGTTGGCATCTTTTTTCTCTCTGGTGACCTTTGTCCATTGCTTTGTTACAGAACAGTTCATTTTCTTCTATAAATGTTTATTCAGCACCTTCACTGAGCGAGCGCCACACCAGGAGCTGAGGAGTCCGGGAGGTAAGATTCCCGCGACCTCTGCCACCGTGGACGTGGAGACACGGCCGCGCCTCCAGCATAGCAGGGGGACGGGTGCGGGGTTGTGCATGTGCACAGAAAAAACCGGTTACGCCATGGGATCAGCGCTGCTACGGAGAATGACGGCAAAGACGGGAGATGCTGTGTTAGAGGCCCCTCGGGAGGGCCTCTGTGGTCCTGGAAATAGTTTTCTTTTCTTTTTCTAAAGATAGCGTTTTGAGGCACCGCGTCAGAGACCATGGACTGCACTTATTTAAGGACTACCATTTGAGGTCCATACACTTTGCCATTTTAGCCCTTTGAAGTATATAAGTTAGTGAACGAATGAATCGATGAACTTTGAGTGCTGGTAGCGGAACCCAGGGCCTCCGGTGTGCCAGGCAGGTGCTGCGCCCTGCACACCCACCCAAGCTCAGTGACAGTGTGTGTGTTCACTGCTGCACGGTCATCACCACTGTTTCCAAAACTTCTTCGTCGTTCCAGACGGAAACTCTGTCAGTCAGTAATCCCATTCCCCTCGTCCAGCCCTGTGAATTATAATCTGCTGTTTATTGCCTGTGACTCTGCCTGTTCTAGATACATCCGGTGTTTAATCACACGGAATTTGTTCCTCTGGGTCTGGTGTCTTTCACTGTGGACACAGGGCCTTCCGGGTTCCCACGTAGCTTACAGCAGAGCTTCCCTTCTGTGGCTTAATAATATTCCACCGTATGGATTTACCATGTTCTGTTTATCTATGTTGCTTGTAATCTTAATGTGTTTTTCACTTTCCTAGCTCTTTCTCATGCTTTTTACCAAGTTAACTTTCATGCCATTTTGCCAAGAAATTGATCTTGATTGATTGATTACGTTTATTAATAATTTTACACAAAGTGATGGTGGTAACAAGCCAGAAATGCCATTTCTTAGTGTGTGTGTGTAATTCTGTGCATTTTCTTGAATGGGTATATTTTTAAAAAATATTTTATGAAAAAATAAAATAGTTTTATAACAAAATAATAAAAAACAGCAATAGTTCAAACACTGTGTATCATAGACATAGACGAAAAAGATTCACAAAAAGTCAATAGCACAAAATTGTCTTTTCAGTGAACTAAGAGAAACTAGTAGCATAAATGGAACAAGTTAGCATATATAAAATAAGTTTGAGACAACAGATTAGGTACTTTGGGGAATTATTTGAACTCCCTACTTTCCGTTTATCTGTCTTCTATTTTGCTTTTTATTTGTGTGTATATATACATATGTAGGTATGTTTTGAGTTTCTAATCAAAATGCCTATACTTTTACAACTGGTATATAAATTTAGTGCAATCCCAATCAAAATGCCGATAGCGTTTCTCACAGATCAAGAGAAAACAATCCTAAAATTCACATGGAATCCGAAGAGACCCAGAATAGCAAAAACAATCCTGGGTAACAAAAGCAAAGCAGGTGACATCACAGTCCCAGACTTGAAGTTATACTATAAAGCCACAGTGATTAAAACAGCATGGAACCAACACAAAAACAGGCATGTGGATCAGTGGAACAGAATAGAAGCGGCAGCAACAATCCCAGGCCCGTTCAGCTATTTGACCTTTGATGAAGGGGCCAAAAACATTCACTGGAGGAAAGGTAGCCACTTCAATAAGTAGTGCTTGGCAAATTGGATATCCACACACAGATGCTTGTGTCTAGACGCAAATATCTCACCACGTACTGAACTAAAATAAAAATGGGTCAAAGATCTAAATGTTAAAATAGAAACAATCTGCTGGGGCAGACAAAATAGGCACAGCCCTTGAAGACACAGGCATAGGCAGGGCCTTTTTGGACAAAACTTCAATGGCACAAGACATAATACCGAGAATGAACAAATGGTATCGTATCACATTAAAGGGCCTCTGCACAGCAAAGGAAGCAGCCAGCAGAGTGAAGAGGCAACCTACGGAATGGTAAAGTATTTTTACCAGTTATTCCTTGAACAGAGGACTAAATCTAGAATACACGAAGAACTCGAGTGGTATATATATCTGTGTGTCTTGTAAGTGATGTCATTGTTGGCGAATGTGATTGGAGAAGAGAATATGGAGCGGGTGAAATTGCAGGGACTCGGGGCACTGTACCCCTGCTCTCAAGGTGTTTAACGAGTAAACCAGTCTTGCTGGACAGACTCGTGTGGGTCCCATGTAATAAATGTGTCTCAGCGCACAGGAGGTACAAGTACTTTTCTGGAGGGCTGCTCCCTGGGGAGAGCTAATTGATACGTTTTTAATTTGTTTCACAGATCAAAGGAGGGACCCATCCACAGTGTAAGGCGGTGGGGCAGATACACAATGGGTTTGACAAGTTGTGAGTTCCCTCTTATCTAAAATGGCACACATTCAGTATGGAGACCAGACTCACAGTAATTCTGGACTTTGGGTGCAGTCTAAGCTTCATCGAGCCTCCTCTTTCTCTTGAAAGATAGCCTCCACTGTGCCTTTTATTTTAGTTGATTATAATTGGTTAGGAGGCTTTTAGTGCTCCTGGTCCCTGTGTGTTTGAACTAGTAGCCTCTGGTGGCAGTGTGTAGTGATTCTGTTGGCTGAGATGTGTCTGACAGTTCTAGAATGTGCTTGGTGACCTGCACCTTCTCGTCTGTGTGGATGCCATCTCACACGGACGTACATACTCAAAACTCTTGGTGTGCCATTTGTATTTTAAACTGGGAGCCCATCTCACGGGTTCCCCTTCTCCCGCCTCCCCAGATGCTGGCTCATAGAGTATTGCAGCCAGTTGTGTCAAGTGACCCTCCTGGGGACCAGATAACCTTGGGTACCAAGTCTTTATTTTTTATCCTCTTCTTTATAGTGCCATGGATTGAACCCAGGGCCTCACACATGGGCTTTTGCACCCATATTATCCATAACAGTTCCAAAGTCAGGAATGAAAATAGAGCATCTGCACCCGCATGCCTTCTGATCAGTCTTGCTCAGAGTTTGAGCCAGGTAGATTGTGTCACTCTCTTAAGTGACAGAGAAGTGTCAGAGACACAGACGAGAATGAAGATAAGGCTTTAACAACACAGGTGAGCTCCTTTCCACCTGTGCAGCCAAGGGGGCTTTGCTTGATCACAGACCTCCTCTCCTGGTCCTAGGGTCCCCGCCTGCCATGTGAACCAGTGGCACTGGTACATCTGGACAGGGTCAGCAGAGAGGAAGTCAAAGCCACCTGCTTCCTCCAGCCCGCTCCAGCCTACTTGCTGCTGTTCCTTTTTATGGTCAATACAGAAAGAAAAGTGGAACCAGTGTCGATTAAAAGTGAAACCAATTGTAAGTTGTAGCAGATGCCTAGGGTGACTCTAATAAAAACAAGCCGCGGTGAAGTGGGGTGTTTGGCAGTGAATTTTCCAGCCACCCCCGCCTTGTCTTAGCTGAATCACTTGCTCATCTGTGTGTGCCCCTCTCGGGTTCTGTTTGTCCCTGGAAAGAGTTCATGAGTGTCTCCCAGCTGCCCTTTCACACTTGACTCACTGTGGGCGGACACTCTGTCCTGCCCACTCTGCCTTGTGCTGGGCCTGTGTGGGGCTGGGGAAATGGAGTGTAGAAGTCAGGCTTCCTTCCCCTTCTGGGGCGTCTGAGAACTGTAGGGTGATGGTGGTGGTGTCAATAATGATGATAAAGATGAGGAACCTCAATATAGATGGACACAGAAACGTGTGTGTGAAGGAAAAGCAGCAGGTGATTTGCTGGTGTTTGTGTTTCTTGAATTACTAGATTTAATACCTGACTTTAAATATTCTGTTTCACTGTCATGCTCCATGTATTTCAGGCCAAATTTTGGCATCTTTCTCTTGAAAAAGGATGTTAAGCATTTATTTGCAGTTTGGAGAGAAGGAGCCCAGGCCTGCCAGCCTTGAGTCAGATTCTCTGGACTTCTGACTTCTGAGGTCCATGGACCTTTTTTAGTGGTTGTCTGACTCATCATGCCAGGGAGTCACCTGTGGGGCTTGTTCATACACGAATTGCAAATCATCAATTCCAGAGTAGCATGGGGCTTGAGAATCTGCATTTCTAACAAGATCCTAGGTGATGCCATAGGGGTGAGACCCACTCTTGAAGAACTTTTCTTGGTGCTAGTTCATGACAGAAGTTTCACTGGTGTGCAGTTCAGTGAGAAAAATAATGTGCTGTGGTTTTTCAGCTGTACTGAATGGAGAGATTATCCAGTTTTCTTTGACGTAACGTCTTTTCTATTTTCTGTTGATACCCGCTGGTAAAATAGCCTTCCTTTCATGAAACGATGGTGCTGTCACGCTAGAGTTGGCAGCTCGAATCCGACATTTGGGAAAGTTTTATGGCTTTCTGAAATCTAGATATCTAAGAACCATAATCTACTAAATGCATAGTCTAGTTATTTACAAATGTTCTCCCTTGAAACGAGATGGGGAGTGAGTTGGTGCAAGAAGAGAGTTGTTGCTTATTAGTTCGGCGGAGTCGTAGCAGGTTTATTTTTTGAGGGCAGTTGTGGTAAACTTCTGTTTTGCAAAACCTGCGCGTCTTGCAGGGAACTCACAGTACAAAGAGGAAAGCAGCTGTGTGCAGCAGGTATATCGGTTGGGACGTGTTTTATCTCTGAAATGATCTTTTTTCACTGTGGTTTCAGCAATAGCTGGGGAGAGTGGTTGGCCACGAAGATCCTGGCTTGAGTCTTTGAACTGATGTGTTATCTCCTGTGCCTCATTGTTTCATATTCAGTGGGAGAGAGATGTTTTGTACAAACATTTTGGATTTTTCAAGCTTTTTATAATTTTCTCAAGCCTCGCTCTTGGAATAAATATAATACTAATACCCACTTGTAGGCACATCTTTGGAAGTGTTCT